GGCATGAGTTAACTTTTTGGGGTGATGGAAATGTTCTATATCTTGATTGTGGTGGTGGTTTAATGACTATATTTGTAAAAATTCACTTAAAAAAGAGTGAATTTTGCTACACATAAACTATAACTGAATACACCTGACTGGGCAAATCTGCTGCAAAAGACCTCTTTAAAGTGTTAAAAAGCAAAGATGTCACCTTGAAGACTAAGGTGCGCCTGACCCAAGCCATATGTTTTCAATCACTTCATAAGCATGCAAAAGCTGGGCAATGAATAAGAAAGACCAAAGAAGAATTGATGCCTTTGAATTATGGTGTTGGTGGAGAATACTGAATATACCATGGACTGCCAAAAGAATGAACAAATCTGTCTTAGAAGAAGTATAGCCAGAATGCTCCTTAGAAGCAAGGATGGCAAGACTTCGTCTCACATACTTTGGACAAATTATCAGAAGGGATCAGTCCCTGGAGAAGTATATCATGCTTAGTAAAGTAGAGGGTTAGTGAAAAAGAGGAAGACCTTCAACAAGATGGACTGACCCAGTGGCTGCAACAATGGGCTCAAACATAACGATTGTAAGGACGGCACAGGACTGGGCAGTATTTTGTTCTGTTGGACATAGGGTTGCTATGAGTTGGAATTGACTCGACAGCACCTAACAACAACAAAGCCTGATTTATAATTACTATGATCCTCATCCATGCCTTTCCGTAGCTTCAAGACTTAACGCTTTTCTCTCATAAGAACTTTCTTGAAGAAATCTAATCCTCACCCATGCTTCTGCAGTTTTCTTGCTTCTGAAGGTCATCAACTCTTTGTCATGTCTACCCATCTCTATCATGGGTACCTGTTTCCAGTGGCATAATTAAAAAGTTCAGTTCCCAGGGCACATTCTCCAAGATCTTGACTCCAGGCTTATATTTAATCATGGGAAATCGACAAATTATCAGAAGGGATCAGTCCCTGGAGAAGTGTATCATGCTTGGTCTTCATGTTCTCTGTCATACCAGTACAACAAAGTGCTCCCTCCCTGTTGCCATCATATGGATTCTGACTCATAGCAACCCTATAGGACAGAGTAGTACTGCCCCATAGAGTTTCCAAGATTATAATCTTTACAGAAACAGACTGCCATGTCTTTCTCCAGTGGAGTGGTTGGTGGGTTCAAACCGAAGACCTTTCAGTTAGCAGCCCAGTGTTTTAACCACTGTACCACCAGGGCCCCCACTGCACAGAAATATTTCTTTCCCTTGACAATCTTGGCAGCAAAACAATGAGAATTGGCAAAATGGAATTAAATGTTACAATCTGAGACTCGGACTGCCTTTCAACTATCTGAGAGTGGCAAAAAATAAAGGTAAAATAAGATGCTCTTATTTCAGGAACATGCATACTCTGTCCTGTGTTACTGTTGGGCAAGCAAGCGAGGATAAACCCTAGCTTGAGCAGGGATGCTCTGACATGGTAAGCATCTGACAGAGGCCCTCATACAGCACCACAGCTTTTCAGGATGTTTCTCTCTTAATAAATTTCTAGGAACGAACCAAAATATTCCCTTGCTTGGCACACCCCTCCATTCAAAAGGCAGTGATTTAATAACGTAACAATTTAGCTATAAGGATACAGATGCTTTGAATGGCTAAGTAGGTCATTGTGCTCACAGGGCAGATGTCAGAACTGCTTGCCAGATGACAAAAAATATAACCATGGGCTGTTTTTATTCCTTTTAAACAAGTCCGAACTCACACATTAGCAACCTCTGCTGTTTACAGCTTTATTCAAAGGATCTGTTAGGAGGCTCCAAGGAATTCCCTTGTGCCATTTACACCTTCAGAACTTAAAATAACCTGCACATATGGTAATATGACCCTGACAGACACCGTCCTGCACCCAGCCAGGCAGAATGGCTGTAAAACAGCGTCTGTGTTTTAGTGGCATTCTGTGCCTGCTGCATTCTAGCACTTGTGAACATATGTATCAAGATCCTGCAGCCCTTCTGCTTACCGCACCCGAGAAGGAGCAGACACTCAATGTTCAGGGGTTTGGAGTTATGTGCTATTTGGACAGATCTCCTCACACTCCATCTGATCATCCCCAAATCCCACTGACCATACCCTCCTTCCCCAATAGTGGCTGTGCCCTCACCCACAACTTCTCCTGCACGTCCCCCCGTTACCTCTATCTGCAGTTCCCAAGTTGTCGCATCACCTCTAAGTCTGCCCCCATGATGCCTCCCAGTTCTTTTCCTGGCCCCACCATTTCTCTCTCTAGGACCCCCATCATGCCTGCAGACCCTCTCGGTAGGCTCATCACCCTATACACATTTCCCTGGTCCCCGATTACCTCTGCAGATCTTCTACACCAGTTACCCATGCAGACCCTCACCGTAGCTCCTTATTTTCTCCATAGCCTTACCACCCTCCCTTCATTACCCATGCAGACCCACCATTACTCAATGACCCTCCCCACGCCCCCATTACTTACATTCCTCAAGGAGATCCTCCCCATGGTCGCTGATTATCTCTGCAAACCTTCACCAAGACCCTGCCCCTAATACCTGCAGACCCTCGCCAAGCCCCAATCACCCCGCAGACGCCCCCTCGGCCGCCACCCCGCAGACAGCCGGGCCTTCTGCCTCTGACCCGGCCGGCCGGACTCACAGGGCATTCGCGTGAGCACGTTGCGCGGCGTCTTCTGGGTCCGACCACGACCCCGCCGGGTCGCCCCGGCGGCCCCGTCCTCTTCCTCCTTGGCTACCATAAGGCGGCGGAGGCGCTGGATGCGCTCGGGGTCCGGGGTAGGGGCATTCTGGCGGCGGCGGGTCCTGCCCAGGGGCCCGGAAGCGGCAGGGACGGCGGAGAGGTTGGCGCCAGCGGGGCCCCCT